ACACACACACACACACACACACACACACACACACACACACACACACAACTGTGCACATGTTCCCCTTTCCCATAATAAGCAAAAGGGAGCTTACATCTGGAGAGAGGGACTAGGAAGAATGCCATAGAAAGTGTGGCATTTGCATAGGTCACATGAAAGTGTATGGAGTGGGGGATGAAAGGGACAACACCAGGAGTGGCAACGAGCTGTCCCTGGGCCCAATCGCTCTGCCCCCACCCACCGCCTACAGAAGACACGGTAAGGCCATGTGTTTTGGATCATGTGAACTCCCCCGACTGAACTTTGTTATTAAAACGTCCACACTTGGAGCTGGTGTGATGGTGCATGCCTATAATCCCAGCACTTGGGAAGCTGAGGTAAGAAGCTCCTGCTGCAAGCTGAGGCCAAGCTGGGGCTAGCCTGAGCTACATAGCAAGTCCCTGCCTGGGCTGCAGTCTGAAACCCTTCCTTAGAAATAAATAACACTGGAGTTAGTAGAGTGCCTGCCTAGCGTACAAGAACCAGGGTTCGATTACCAGCAGCACTAAAAAGGAGAGATTAATATTATGCAAAATGAAAAAAATCAGTCACAACAAAAGGCTACAAATAACGAAATTTGCATTTCTGTCAACTGTTCAAAACAGGCAAATCCCCAGAATCAGGATGTAAATCAGTGAAGGAGAGCGAATGGCCCCATGCTTTGGGTTCCTGCTGTCTATAGTTTGAGTCCGGACTGCTGCCACAAGGCTGAAGAACTGTAGGAGGTGAGGCCCAGCTGACAAGACATGGGGTCAGGGACGGGCCTGGAGCATGGCAGAGTAGCCCCGCTGCCAGTCTGGCTCTCGGTTTCCTGATCTGCAGGGATGTAACAAGTCTCGCTGTGCTGCAGCAGCAGCCTCCCCTGCCACGGTGGCTGCAGCCCCTGAACCATGAGCCTGTACAGACCTGTGCCCCCTCCCCACGGTGGCTGCAGCCCCTGAACCATGAGCCCGTACAGACCTGTGCCCCCTCCCCACGGTGGCTGCAGCCCCTGAACCATGAGCCCGTATAGACCTGTGCCCCCTCCCCACGGTGGACTGTAGCCTCTGAACCATGAGCCTGTATAGACCTCTGCCCCCTTGAGTTGTTCCTATCAGGTACCCGCTGTAGCCATGAGGGAGAAATTAATACTTTGTGGTGTTTTGGATGGAATAGCTAATTATGCCCCCAGCGTTAGGTAGATCTCTCTGAGTTCAAAACCAGCATGGTCTATAGAGCAAGTTTCAGAACAGCCAGGGCTACACAGAGAAAGCCTGTCTCAAAAAAAAAAAAGTTTTTCTTTACAGCTTACTTTTATTTTAAATTATGTGTGCCTATGTATATATGTGCATGAGCGCAGTGCTCTCAAGAGGCCCAAAGAGGCTGTGGAAACCTACAGCTGGAGTTACAGGCTGCTGTGTGTGTGTGTGTGTGTGTGTGTGTGTGTGTGTATGTGTGTGCGCGCGCGTGTATGTGTGTGTATGTGTGTGCGCGCGCGTATGTGTGCGTGTATGTATGTGTATGTGTGTGTGTGCGCGCGCGTATGTGTGTGTGTATGTGTGTATGTGTGTGTGTATGTGTGTGTATGTGTGTGTATGTGTGTATGTATGTGTGTGTGTATGTGTGTGTATGTGTGTGTGTATGTGTGTGTGTATGTATGTGTATGTGTGTGTGTATGTGTATGTGTGTATGTGTATGTGTGTGTGTGTATGCAGGTACTCTCAAATAAGTTTTCTTTTTTCCACAACAGGGTTTCTCTGTGTAGCCCTGGCTATCCTGGAACTCTCTCTGTAGACCAGGGTGGCCTCAAACTCAGAGATCCACTGCCTCTGTGTCCCATATACTGCGATTAAAGGCATGAATTACAAAGAATCTCTCAAGAACCAGAGATCCATTCAACAGTAAAGGCTAAAGTCAAACAAACATTACCTCCTCCTCAGACAAATGCCTGAATTTTGTTTGGTAGCGGCTGAGCTCAACGTTCAAACGATGAACGATCATCTTCAAGCCCTCGTTTTCATCCACCAGGTCTTGGCCTTGCTTTCTTAGGCAAAGTAATTCAGGTGCGACCACTGAAAAACATCAACTTAATATCACACGAGAGTCAATCATATCAAAGTCACCAAGATTTTATATAAATTACTAGTCGGTCTTTATGTTTCCTTGTAGTGAACTGTACATAAATATATGTGTGTGTGTATACATATATATATATGTATAATTTATATAAATAAGCTAACAGCAGATAAAATCAAAATTCAATAAGCATATAAGGGTACTAATGAAGGATCTTAATATTATAACATACACATCAATATACAACAGGAAGTAGATCCCCAAATTGATGTCCCGGGCCACACCTTCCTGAGAGGATGCCTTTTCTGCCTCTTTCAGCCTCCTGTTGTCTTTCTCCACCCTCTTCATCTTCAGCTCTAGGTCCTTCATTGTTTGTCTCGCTGCACTCAGTTCAAGGCTGAGGGACTGGTTTACGGCGTGTAGATGCATGGTTTCTTCTTTTAATTCCTCAAACTTTTCTTTGGTTAGTTCTGTGTATCTCTGATGTACTCTAGCGGCTACATCTGCAGGGTACAGAGGGAAAACAAACATAACGAAAGTGACCATTGCACATTAAAACACTTGACACTTTATTCCAAAGCCACGTGAGCAATTAGGTCACATTAGGCCTGGGGCCCAGTCCCTGGTGTCTGAGAAGTCGGGTGCCCAGGGGAAGGTACAGAGGGCAGTAGGAAGGGAGGAGGCAGATCCGGAGGAGGAAGAGAGGAGCCTCTACCCCTGCAGGCTTAGCATCCTTTGGACTATTAGGTAATCCTTCTGAGCAGTGACTAGGGACCACTGGCCCGCACCACTTCAAAGGCTAATGGACCACTCTCAGTGGAGAAAGAGCCCATGAGCTGGAAGTCAGGGCACCATTATTGTCTCAGAACACAACCAAAGTCTCCAAGAAAGAGCAAAAATGCAGTCAGTCCAAATAAGACAAAAAAAACAATGTTTTCAGATGAGTGATAGGAGACAGAACAGCCCCAGACTACAAATCTACTCTGCAAGTGGCTGCTTCCCCGACTGCACAGGTCAGCCTCACAGAGCGGCAGGCCTCAAGCAAAGCCCTTGTCTGTACGTACCAACACCCCGACTTTCAGCACACCCCACAGGGTCACCTTCCACACAAGGACTCAACCGTCCTATAGGCCCACCCTCGTCACCCCAGGTCCTGAGCTCTCCCCAAGGGCCCACCCTCACCCCAGGTCCTGAGCTCTCCCCACAGGCTCACCCTTTGCCCCACTAATATTCAGTGATCAACATCTTCCTCGAACCTAACCACAGGGGCAGATGGATGTCAGAGCCTTCAGGGAAGTCAAACTTTCCTCAGATGAGACTATCCTGGATACCCTGCAGAAACTAAGCATGGCCCCTTGTAGTGAACTCCAAAAAGACAGTACCTGGAGAGGGAGGAGGTTTTTCACGCAAGGGCACTTTCTCATCCTAAGGAAGAAAGGGCAGAGGATGAGACGGTGTGAGCATCTCCCACAGTGGCCTGGCGCTGAGTGAGGCCATACATTCAGGGCAGCCTCTCCTGGTGGGCTCTCGGCTGTCTTCCATCTTGGTGCGTGCACTCAGTGACGGCTCTTCACAGTCTGACACGCTGTGAGCGCAGGGCCCTGGCGAGGACCCACTGACTGCAGCAAAGCCGAGCTCTGACTGCTGGGAAAACAATGAATCACACTTGCCTCTCAATCTGGACTTAGAAGCAAGAGAAGGCTGGGAACTGCCATTAGCTTTCCCACTACATATGGAGGCAGTGCTGAGATTTTAGTTCCCGCTGGAAAGCAGGCAAGGCTGTAAGTCTTCTGAGAATCGTAGAGTGAGCTTTTGTCATGTTTTCTGAGACAGGAGCTGCGCTTTAGCTTGTGACCCATGAACTCATGACGCTCCTGCTGGGATGAAGCCCAGCTGCTGGGGTTACAGTATGACCCACATCTGGGGAACGGGATAAACTTTTACATCCCTAGATCTAGAGACTTCAGCGGGGACTTATTTCTATGCTTCCCACTTGGTTATTAAATTGCCCACCATTGTAGAAATTACAGATGCGATTTCTTACTCTCCCTAAGTCGTCTCCATTACTAGACTTTGGAAGAGGGGCAGTTCCTCCTGTTTAAAGTATATCAGGTAAGGGCCAAGTGTCAGGTCCAAAGAAACCACCACTTCCCCAAATTCTGGTGGTTAGACTAAAGCCAGCATTCCTCAGGAACTCAGAGCAGTCCCCTCTACGGGAGCCAGAGGGGACACATGGCTATCTGTGGTGCCTTTTAGCACACCAAAGCGCATGCCTGACTGCAAGTGCCCTCAGTACCACAAGCATCTAGCTCTTCTCACCTCTTCCTCTACCTTAAACTTCTTCTAGCTCAGGGGCTCCCCTCCCCCCAGCTACTCACCTCTCCTTATAACTCTGCTATTTCAGCTACGCCCTGACTTGGTCTCATGCTCAGTCTCCCTCTCTCTTGCTCCTCTCTTTGTCTTCATCTCCTGCTCCCCCCACTTCTCCCTCACTTCTCTCATGGCCAAGTGCAGTCTGCTGGCCATGTTCAGTCCACTGCTTTCTCTTCCAGATGCCTCTGGCTGTTCCTTCCCTCCTGTCCACAATAAAACTTTCCCCTTAGCCATGCCATGGGGCAGTCATGTCGATTGTTTATCCACTAGGGATGCAGTCACCCATAATGCACTTGCCTAGCAAGCACAGGGCACTCGGTTCAAGCCCAAGTACCTCAAAATATCAATGTGCCTGAGTGTGTTTGCACATGTATGTGATGTTAAAATGCAGGCTCCGTAGCAGCCCGCTCTCACACATACTAACAGGCACCCTACAGAGACACTATCTACCCAAGTCCCTAGCAGCATCATGGGAAGTGAGTTTACATCCAAGTGGGTTTGTATGGCCACATATCTTGCTACCCACTCCCTTCCCTGCCTCCTGCCTGGGGATGAGAAAGCCTGGCTGCAGGCTTGTGCTTTGGCCCCTGCCCCCATCCTTAGACTGCTATAAAAAGGAGACTCCACTTTTGCTATGTGGGCTCTGACTCCTCACTTTGGAGACACTGGCATGCTGTCTGTCTCCTGTGCTCAGGCCTGAACCCTCCTTGGAGCTCTGTTATCCCTGTCTGTCTGTCTGTCTATGGCATTAATGTTTCTAATCAGCCCCTCACTCTCCCCTACTCCATCTCAAGCGTCCCTCCTGAGCCAGTCCCCTCTGAAACCTCCCCACAGAGGGGCTAGACAATGAAGCATGCAGCAGGAAAGAGTTCTTACAAGAAGATCTTCTCATACAGCGTGTTACTATGATGAAATAAAAGATCATGCACCAGGATTAAGTTGGTTTCTATCCAAGGACACAAAGGAAATTGAACATGTACAAATCAGGAAATGGAATCACAGCACCGAGTCAGGGGCAGAAGTCACATGGTTAATACACACACACATAGAAGACAGACGATAGCGCAAAGTCTACTTCTTTTAAAGTAGGAATTCTTGAAAATAAGCTTACCTCTAGGTTCAGAACAGAGTATTTACCACCTGATTTTAAAAGAAAAAATAGAAAGTTTTAAAAGTCAAAAAAAAAAAACTGACACACTAGAAGAGTATACTCATAAACCTAGATACTCACCTTGTCCCCAAGCATAGAACAAGGTCCCCACAAGTTCACAGTGAGCAGGTCCCAGGACAGGGCAGGGGCCTGACCTTGACTGGGCTATCTCTCTGCCCTCTTCACTCCTGAGTTCCTGCAGTAGCTCCCATGGTCTCAGAACACTGAGTACCTATACTGACTCAGCTGCACATCCCTATCGCCTCAGCTTCCCCACTGTGATGGAGCAGGCTAGTGGCCCAGATCCACCTGTAGTGGGCACTATGCTAAACTGTCAACAGAGGGCGCTGCAGAGGCATTGAAGGAGCTTTGCTTCCTGTCTCTTTATTTTTACTTTATTATTTATTGATGGCCGGCAACATATAGCACTCTCCATGGTGGTTTCTCCTGGTCCCCTCCCCCAGAGAGCAGGATTTGAGCAAACCTGGCCTCCAGCGGGCCATAGCCGCAGCCTATGCAGTGAGACCTGGGCCTCCGCTCTTAGGCACTTTCAGGCTTGTTCCTTCCTTAGATACCCTGTGTCCACCCTAGAGACACTAACTATAACCTATTTCTATTCTTACATCTGGAACTTCCTCTTTACCTCTTAGTAGGCAAGCCTCTTAATTACTCTTCAGTCTTTCCCTGTTTAAGCAACTGTGTGGTTCTGTCTCCTGGTTGGATCCTGGTTACTGTGCTCCACCATGCCACACAAGGCAGATTTTAATAAGAAGGAGATATCAGAAAGTTGGACCTGGTGGTACATGTCCATCACGGCAGCCACTGGGAGGCTGAGGCAGGAATACCTCAAGTTCTAAGGTAGCCTGGACTACAATGAAAGAGTCTCCAAATGGAAGAGGGAGTCTTCTGGACCAGGCAGCACTGGACTGGCCTTCTGTTTCCAAGCAGGCGCCTTGCAGACTGACTGCCATGAAAGTGTCCCGAGGGAGCTATGAAGGTTGTTCAGCAGGTAAGGGGTTGCCTTGTGAGCACCAGGACCTGAATCTAATTCTTTAGAACCTACATAAAAATGCAGAATGATAGCTGGCACATGCTTGGGATCCTGGTACTGGGGAAGTAGAGACACGTGGACGCCTAGGGATCTGGCCAGCCAGCCTCGCCAAATCAGTGAGTTCCCAGCTGTGCTGGCTGGCTCTGGCTTTGCATCAACTCGACACGAGCTAGGGCCATCAGAGACTCAGCTGAGCAAAGGCCTCCTTGTAAGGCATCTTCTCATTTAGTGGCCAATGGGGGAAGGCCCAGCCTATGGTGGGTGGTGTCATCCCTGGGCTGGTGGTCCTGGGCTGTATAAGAAAGCAGGCTGAGCAAGCCGTGATGAGTAAGTCAGTAAGCAGCTCCCCTCCATGGCCTCTGAATCAGTTCTGCTCCCAGAATCCTGTCCTGTTTGAGCTCCTGTCCTGACTTCCTTCAGTGATGAACAACAATGCTGAAGTGTAAGCCAAATAAACCCTGCCCTCCCCAACTTTCCTTTTGGTCATGGTGTTTCATTGCAGTAACAGAAACCCTAACTAAGACACCAGCCAATAAAGACCTTGTCTCAAAACACAAGGTGGCAGAGAGCGAGGGACACCCTAACGGTGGGGCCTCTTCACGGGGCACACCTTCACACACACATGCCTCCATATGAACATACAGCAACCCAGGGGCCCTGACAAAGCTGTCGTCGGCTGCCCACTGCTTGACAGGCTCTGAATCCCTGTCCCCTCGGGGATCTCGAAATTGCTTCTCTTTGTCTTAATGAGCTGAATCTCACTGAGTCAAATAAAATATATCAAAAAGGCTGACGTGCATCCCCAGAATTATGCCAGAAACATCTATACACGCATGCATTCAGCAAGCGCTTCACCAATGACCCACTGTGGCCAGGCCCTGCAGCTCTCACGGTGACAAGGGGCAGAGGGAAAGGTACATATAGACAGACACAACCTCAGCTGGGCGTCCTCTGCCCCAGACAAAGCGGACAACAAGGGCTCTAAATGGGCATCTGATATGGTCAAGGCAACCTCGCACCCGGGCAATCACTCATTCAGAGCGAGAATAAACTGCAAGGACTTTTCTGGTTAGAATCAGAGCCACAGTATGGAGGTGTGACAACACCGGAACCGGTAACCGAAACTGCCCTCACATTTAACTCTGTCCTTACCTTTGTGTTGAGGGTGCTGTGGAAAGGCGGCGGCAGCGGAGGAGGAGTCTGAGAGCCCATCCTGCTCAGAAGCATCGTCGTCCCTCGCCATCTTCTGTGACGACAGCACCTTTTGGTTGGAGAGGAACAAGCACATGATACATGTCAGCTGTATTCATCCTCCTAGCGATTCGTCTGTCCCACGCTACACCACCCTCACAGCTGCCGCACTGAAAGGGGCTGCACGTGCCGGCGCAGGAAGAAACCACAGACCCTTGGGAAAAGCCTGGCAAAAAGTCGATGGCACGGAAGATATATTTAGGCTGTGGGGAGCTTCATATCACGTACTTCCTGGGTGGCTTCCTTCCACATTCCTGCAGGGACCAGCTCAGGAAAGGGACAGCACCCAATGGGATGGCACCCAACTCTGGTTATAAAAGCCTACGTGTGACAAGAAGTGCTGGACATCCTGGGAAAAACTTCACCTGGGCCACTGTCTAGGGCTGGGCCCATCAGGATCACTGTGTGACACCACAGTTGGCGTCATTTCCTGAGGAAATGGGATTGCAGCTCCACTGTCCGATGACCTCTCATATAGCGCATGGTGGCGGGGCAATGAAGCATCCCTTAGAGGCATTCCCACTGACAGGGCTGTAGAGGGCAGGGCCTCAGGGCAGCTGGCCAAGAGGAGGAGCAGTAAAGCCCATCCTGTGGGCACACTAGGACCGAGCCCTTCAGGTGCACTCAATCGCTTGCTTGGCATCAGTGTGGCCTAACTGTGCTGTGCTGGAGGCCGTGGGAAGGTGCCCCTGTGGCTGGCAGGACGTTGGCAGGAGCCACCAGCAAGGTGATCAAAGGGATGGATCTCAGAGCCAAGAGCTGAGGTCACTGGAGCTGCAGGCTCTGTGCACATGGCTTCTAAGATGGCCTGGTTCAGGGGGAACGGTCAATAGAGCTCCTAACGTACTGGTTAGCTCAGAGATGGAGAAACAAAGGGACTTGCCGCTTATTGTCTCCCAGGAGCAAACAGCCTTGGCCACCCCGTGAGGGACATATCAAACTACTCACCGTCACTGGAGTGTGGAATTGGTAAGAAAATGCCAATGGCATTAGTTGCAACACCCTACACGGGAGACTGTCTTGCAGTATCTGTCAGTTCTACGATGGATCACATACACACCTCTGACGGTACACACATCATGCCCCACACACTCATGGGATGCATACACACATGCACAGCAGAGAACACGTCAGGGCATGCTTCCTTCAGCACTATTAAGGGAATAAAAGTGGAAACCACCAGCAGCAACAGGAATGAGAAGGGTGTGCCTATGGAGGGAAAGTTATAACAGTGCCAGGGGACCACCCACGGGGACTGGGGACATCTGAACAGACAGAGCAAGAGGCTGAAACTGAGAAACTGGAAAGAGGAGCTGGGGAAGATGGCTCAGCAGCTGAGAGCACTGGTTGCTCTCCCTGAGGACCCAGATTTGATTCTCAGCACCCACATGGTGGCTCACAGCCATCCGTAACCCATGATGGGGATCCAAAGAACTCTTCCTTTGTAGGCACGGCCTGTATATGGTGCACAGACATATATGTAGGCAAACCACCACATACAGAAGTGGAGGTAAGTAAATATTTATTTTAAAAAGGAAGGAAAATGTAATATATAATCATTGTTTTCCAAAAAAGTAGTATGAACTCCTTAAAAAAAAAAAAGAAAGAAAAATGGACAAGGGCAAGCTGGGGGAAGACTGGGAAAGGGCACAGTGGGTAAAGGCATTGCTGCAAGCCTGGTGACTGAGCTCAATCCCTGGGACTCTCCTAAAGGTGGAGGAGGACTGGCTCCACACAGGTGTCAGGTGTCTGGCTTACACACACACATACACACACACACACATACACACAAGCACGACACAGGCACACACATATGTACATAATAATAAATTTTTAAAATTTTACTGGAAAGAAATTGGTCACAAAGATACCTCCCCCCCAAAAAAAGGGAGGATGAGGACTGTCAGTCAAAAAGATACTAGGGAGGGCTGCAAAGGTGGCTCAGCGGGTAAGAGCACTGGCTGCTCTTGCAGAGGACCTGGGTTCAGTTCCTAGCACCCACACTGTGTCTGACAACCATCTGTAACTCCAGTTCCACAGATTTGATGCCCTCTTCTGACCTCCCTGGGCATCAGGTGTGCATGTGGTGAACACACAGACCAAAGACTCAGACAGATAAGATGATTAATCTAAAAAAGTTATTAGGGGAAAATGCATATTTAGATATGATTTCAAAATCATATAGATTAATAATAGTCATTCAAAGAAATATGTTCTACGGCTCCATGCACAATGAGTTGGAAAAGTTAGAAATGAATGTGTAATGTTAGAAGTCCTACACTTAGGAAAGAAAGCAAGAGCAGAAAGCCTGAGAAAACAAAAGGAAGCTTGGGACTAAGCGACCATAACAAATACATGCAAATCTCCTGACAGCTCTTATCATGTCAGTCACGTGAACACAAGCATCCCCAATGCAGCATGTGGTCATGTGTGCAACGCCATGACAGGGAGTCACCTTGGGCAAAATCTGGACAAGAAAATGTAAGAGGCCAATTGAGGTGGTGCACACCTTTAATCCCAGCACTTGGGAGGCTGAGGCAGGTGGATCTCTGTGAGTCTGAGGTCAGCCTGGTCTACAGAACGAGTTTCAAACAAACCAGCTCAAAGATATATGATTAGATCCAGTCTTAAAAAAAACAAAAAACTCAAAAAAACAAATAAACAACAAAAGCACACACATGCAAGCAACACACCACACACACATATAAGCACACCACACACACACACTCAAACACACTACACATGTATACATATACAAGCATACTACACACACACATACACATATACACACAAGCATACCACACATTCATACATAGCAAAAAGAATCCCACAAAACCCCACAAAGACCTTTGCCTTTGAAGCACTTGACTTCAAGGATAAACCAAAAAAGGTTTAAATTTCCTCCATACAGACAGACGCAAGGCTGAACACTTAGGAGAACAAAGGGGCAGGACACTGGAAGCAACGGGAGGCAGCACAGAACACGCTGACACATAGTAACACGGGGGATGTGGCTTGGGAAGGCGATGTCACCTGATTTCTGTGAGGCACAGCATATGCGGCATCTCTGCCGTCTCCCACATCCTTCCAGGTGCTGGACTCCGACTCCCTGAAGCTGGTTGACACCTGCGTTTCGGCATCCCCATCCTCCTCGTGGTCTACAGTCTCCAAGGACGGCAAGGAGGTTCTTTCTGGCGCATTCTGCCAGCTTTGCCTGTGTTAGGTCATTAACAAATAAAATAAGCAAAGAAGCAGTTTAGCACCTGGCATTGATATTGAATCACATTTATTTTTATTTACTTATTGTGTAAACAAGATCTCACTACACAGCCCAGGCTGGCCCAAACCCCTAATCCTCCTGCCTCAGCCTCCCAAGTGCTGGGATTACTGGCACACACCACCCCACCAAGCTGTTACACACATCTTAAATGCACTGTCTCCAAGTCCACGCCAAAGAAGTATTTAAACTGTAAAAAACAAGGAAGCTGAATGACGACAGTGTCTGCTCTCCCGGCTCTGTCCCTTTAAGTATTTCTTTTCTTTTTTTCAAGACAGGGTTTCTCTGTGTAACAGCCTTGGCTGTCCTGGAACTCACTCTGTAGATCAGGCTGGCCTTGAACTCCAAAGTGCTTGGATTAAAGGCTTGCGCCACCACCAGCCTGGCTTCCCTCTGATTTTCACTGTTATGAACACAACCCTGTGATGCAGCAAGGATTAGTTCTAGAAAGCAAACCATGGTGTGGTACGTTGCTGCACCCAACATAAACAAATAATGCGACAAATCACTTCCTGAACCCCAAACCATGTAGAAGCAGTTGTCTTATCCACATGGTTTAAATAGCTCAATCTGTGCATGCATCATGTGTGTGTCTGTGCGCAGGTGGGTATGTGCTTGCGTGCATGCATGTGTGTGCATGTGTGTGTATGTGTTTCTTACTGAAGTTGAACAATTTTCCGTAATTTACCTGAGCCACCATTTTTTTTTTTTTGCTGTCAATTGTCTCAATGAAATTTCTTTGCTTCTAGTGTGTCCAATTTGAAATAAGCTTTATCTACTAAAATTAAAACCCTGTTTTCAGTCAGGTGGTGGTGGTGCACACCTGCACTCAGGAGGCAGAAGCAGATGGAGCTCTGTGAGTTCGAGGCCATCCTGGTCTACAGAGTGAGTTCCAGGACAGCCAGGGCTCGTCTTGAAAACAATCCTCATCTTGAAAACAAAACAAAACAAACTTGTTTTCATGTTTAATACAAGTATTTACCCTGTTCTATTAATTTTGTTTTGAGTGTGTACATTTTTTAACATACGGATAATTAAAAGAAAAAGACTTTTGGCCGGAGGCACAGCTCAGCGGGACAGCTTTTGCCTAGCATGTAGAAAGACATAGGACTGAGCCACTACAACTGGAAAACAACGACTTTTATTGTTTGGTTTTTGTTTTAAACAGGATCTCACATAGTCTAAGCTGGCCTGAAATTCACTATATAGTCAAGGATGGCCTTCAACTTCCGTCTCCCAAATGCTAAGATTACAGATGTGGACCACAATTTCCAGGCCCCTCGCCCCCACCCCACCTTTATTTCACCTTCTAAATTCCTAGTTTAGTACACAGCAGCAGACGGGCACTCGAGTTCACGATCTTAACACAGATGACCATCTGGAACGATCCTTTCATCCCCAAGGGACTGACCGGGGTGTGGCTTGTGCTGATTGGTTTTCAAACCACGCTAGTGTAGGTACTGAAATCCTTCTCCCGATCTGTCAGGGCCGCCTCCCGCCTCTGCTCTGAACTGAGTGACCCTGTGCTGCTCTTGATGCTTTAGCCCCTGCTTTAAGATACGGCAGGGCTAACCCAGTTATCCTTTGATAATTTTATATCCTTCCTCCTTCCAGTGAACTTTAGGGTCACATCCATATTTTCAGTTCAATCTAGCCAAAGCGTAATTCTTAGAAGAAAAACTAGCTGTTTTCAAAACGGGGTCAAGATTTCATTTTGATACTGGTCTAGCTACGTTGTCTAGGTCAGGCCCCCTGCCCCTGGCTAGAGTCAAGATGGAAATGTAAAATCCCATGGCACCCTGCTGTAATCCTGCCTGCCTGGGAAGCAAAAGCATGAGGAATACAGTCTGAGGCCATCCTAGTCCGTACAGGAAGACCTTGTCTCAAAAAAAAAAAAAAAAATCAAAGCACAATTAATGTCCCTGTCAGTGCCTCCTGGACACAAGTGAAGAAAGCCTGGTGACCATGATCACCACATGGCCCTGGAGCTGCCCTCTGCTACCACGAGGGGACACACAGCTATACCATGTCCCTACCGAAGCCTCAGCTCTGAGGTGGTGGCATAGGGCTCGATGATGCTGTCCTTTTCAACGTAGGAGGCGTCACTCTCAGACAGGGACCTCTGGCGAGGCTGGGGAATGGCAACTGTCTGTCCAGTCAATGTGGTTGTCAGGATGACCGCAGCTAGAGCAGACCTGTGAACAGAAACATCCCAGAGGCACCGAGGGACGGACGGACATTCAAGCTGCAGGCTGAGCTGACACGGTTAACCCACCGCAGCAACGGACTGATTAGCCACTGACAGCTCGCTCACAGTCCAAGATAGCCCATCTCGTTGACAGCCCATGATAGCCTATCAGTACCCCCATTTCATTCTCACATTGACCGCAGAAATCAAATTTATGCCGTCCATTCTTAGAGGAATTAACTGATATGTAAAGACTTTCTCTAGTCAGTAAGATGTGACCACACCAGGTTGTCAATCTACATAGTTCGACATGCAAAGTCTATATTCAAACACTTTTCTATTAAAATGAAAGAACAGAATGAAATAAAAGAATGAGATAAAGGAAGACTTACGCCAGGTGTGGTGACACACATTTTTGATTTCAGAACTTGGGAAGCAGAGGCAAGTGGATCTTTGTGAGTTGGGGACCAGCCTGGTTTACATGGGAGCTCCTGATAAGCCTGGACTATATAGTGAGATCCTGGCTTTAGGTATATATGAGTGTGTGTGTGTGTGTGTGTAAATAAACACATACACACATTACTTGTAATGATGAAAAGACCCAACGATTAAAACACACGTCTGTATTTCCAGTGCTAGCAGGCCAGCCAGCCTAGCAAAAAGGCAAGCTTCTGATTCCATGAGAGACCTGTCTCAAACCAATATGGAGAACAGAGAAAGATACCACTGGACAAACTGCATGCTCACACGTATATAAACCATACCCACCACACATACGCACATTAAAAACAAATCCAAAACAAAACAAAGAACTCCATCATCCCTAGTACTGTTCCCCACCATCACCCCGAGTGCAGTGTTCCCCACCATCCCTAGTGCTGCTGTGTTACTGACCCTATTTTTCAGCTTACTCTGGCTCACAGACCCACAACCCTTAATCTTACCTAAGGATGTCTTAAGTATTGCCTTTTCCCTTGAACCTTGAAGCAGCTTCAGAGAGCCGCAGTAAGAAGCAGCCTTGTATTATTTACAGCCAGCCTTTTCAAACACACCTAAGCTTAGAACAATGAGGTGAGTTGTTCAAGTCCCTACAGAACCACAGGATGTGGAGTTGGTTGCCAGGGAAACCAGCCAGGTCCCATTACCTACCCTGGGCAGGGGGAGCAGGGCTGCTGGAGGTGCTGACCAATGTCAATCATTGCATCGGCCGCACCTACACACTGAAGCTTCCGTACACACAAGATCAGTGTGTGTGTGTGGGGGGGGGGGAGACTGGCTTCCACCACCAGCACTCATTTCCCCCAAAATGAGTCGTTTGGGGAGCCTGAGGAATACGTGGGAACTTCCAGGAAGGCGAGGACAGCACATCTCAACTCCATGGAGACAGAAACACTTGTGCCTGGGACCTCTCCACACCTCGCCCTATCTGGGTCCTTTAAAACCTCCTCTTGCAGATGTACAGGAGTTAACTTCTTCCACACTGAAGCCTGTCATCCAAGGCAACCAGAATCCATGACCCGGCACCACAGTCACACACAGCTCAGAACCTGGCTCCTGGTCCCGGGCCAGGGTCATTCATTTCTAGCTCAGTACAAACCATCTCTAGTTCCAAGGGCTGTGTTTTGCATCTTCCCTAGGATCTGAGAGCCACTCTATCAAATCCAACATAAAGACATGATTGTGAACTGGCTTATTTCCAGTCAGAACAGGGGCAAAATCACCCCGGCTTATGTCTGGTCTCTGAAGAGGGGGCCAGGCAGTGTGGGAAGGGGGGGGGGTTGCTGAGGATCTGATATAACCTTTAGGTCCATAACTTAATTATATTAGAGAAGACCCAGCTGTCTCCCACTGAAGAATTAATCGTGACAAGGAAGAAGTCTGGAGTGACACGTTGATTACTGTTAGGTGAGAGGACAGGTGGGGAGTGGCTTTTCCCCATCACCTTGGAACTACACCCACTGAATGCCCAGAAATCGCCAGAAATCGGCCTTTCAACATAGACCTGGCAAAATGGCTCCCACAAAGAACAGTGCCAAGCAGGGCCGTTCTATCACCCACAAAGGGTAGGACAGCAGCAACACTCACAAGCACACCCCAGAAACTGTCTCTTGAAAAAGACCAGAAATGCACCACAAGGCTAAACGAACAAGAGCTAGCCTGCCCCAACTGTGTGGAACTTCCAAGAAAGTGTGCTGGAGATGAGTCAGCCAACGGTCTCTATACCTTAGCTGCTGTGGATGTCCATCACCTTCCAAAACCTGCAGTCAGTGTGGATGGAAACGAATCAGCTTGCACTATCGAGATCCACATTTCTGAGCAAACTGGCCAAACCAGACGCTGGTGAGGGCAGGAAGTAACCGGCACTCACATGCAGTAGAAACACAAATCCAACTGGGAAATCGTTCGGCAATCACTTCAAAAAATAAAAGATTCTTTTAAGAGAGGCTGGAGAGTTGGCTCAGCAGTTCAGAGCACTGGCTGCACTTCCAGAGGACCTGGGTTCAATTCCCAAATCACGGCAGCTCATAACTGTCAGTAACTCCAGTTCCAAGGGATCCAACACCCTCACACAAATGCACACACAGGCAAAACATCAAAGCACATTAAAAAAAAAAAACAAGAAAAAAGCAAGAAAGAAAGGAAGGAAGGAAGGAAAGAAGGTAGGAAGGAGGAAGGAGAGAGGGAGGGAGAGAGGGAGGGAGGGAGGGAGGAAGAACTTTCTAGCGAGCCCACAACATGCTTACTACAAAGCAGTATCTCTTTGCTTTGCTGACAATGGAATGGGAAGCTAACCCTCTAGCTACTGCTCAGGCTGTCTCATTGACACAGCACACACATTGACGAGCTGGACAGACCACCTTTGTAGTAGGTGGGCCTACTGCCCTGACATTTGAAGCAAGTGATCAACACCCGAACCTCACAGCTGTCCCCAAATAAAGAGGAGCACAGGGCCCTCTCACAGTGTTACCCAGAAGATGACAGAGGCACAGAGTGCTCACTAATAACGGCTATCCGTGTTATGTGCTGCAGGAAATATCAAACACTAGAACACCGCAGAGGTTGTTCCTACTCCAGCGTTAGAATCCAGGAACTAGCTCGAGTATGCTGGGTAAATGCTGACTCACCAAGTCCTGTCCCCAGCCCTTCAGAGTTTACATTCTATTCAAAGGCACAGAATATCCCAGGACGAAAGAAGACCAAATAGAGCGGCACTCTGGAGTGGAATTATCCTTACTAACAGTTAGTAACTCATTGTATTCTATGGCTTAAAAACAGACTAGATGTGGACTGCGGAGGTGGCTCGGAGGTTAAAGAGCACGCACTGCTCTTGCAGGGGACCTGAGTCTGGTTCCCAGCACCACGCTGGGTGGTTCACAACCACCCGCAGCACCAGCTGCAAGGGACTGGATTCCAAGAGTACCCGCATCCAAGTACACACACACACACACACACACACACACACAAAGGCACAAGTATATACACATAATTTAAATTTGTTTGTTTGTTTGTTTTGCTTTTCAAAAAAGGGTTTCTCTGTAGCTTTGGAGCCTGTCCCAGAACTTGCTGTGCAGACAAAGCTGGCCTTGAATTCATGGAGATCCGCTTGTCTCTGCCTTCTGAGTGCTAGGATTAAAGGCACACGGCACCACTGCCTGGTTAAATTTAAAAATTTTAAAGAACAGCAACAATTAAAAAAAAAATCAGACTAGCTAGGCATGGTGGCTCACACTTATAAACTCAGCTCTTAGGAGGCTGAGGTGGGAGGACTGCTTTGAATGCAAGGTCAGCCTGGGCTACAAGACCCTATAAAAAAACAAACAAAACAAGTCTAAAGTTTCCCAGTGTCTAAAATCTTGACAGATACAGGCAGTGGTCCCAGGAATGGAAAGAGAGTTGGCTGACTGGTACACCGAGCACTAGGAGATGAGGAACACCAGTTCCTAGGGGGGAACATGTTCCTTCTTTTAACACAAAGTGGTTCTTTTAAGAGGCAAAATTGCAGCCAGAGGTGGGTGGTGCACGCCTTTAATCCCAGCACTCTGGAGACAGACCCAGGTAGATCTCTGAGTTTGCAGCCAGCCTGGTCCACAGAGCGAGTACCAGAGCGGCTCCACAAACATCTTCTTTTTTTTTTTTAAATATTTATTTATTTACTTATTATGTATACAATATTCTGTCTGTATGCCTGCAGGCCAGAAGAGGGCACCAGACCTCATTACAGATGGTTGTGAGCCACCATGTGGTTGCCGGGAATTGAACTCAGGACCTTTGGAAGAGCAGTCAGTGCTCTTAACCGCTGAGCCATCTCTCCAGCCCCCCACAAACATCTTCTTGAAAAACAAGAAACAAACAAAAGGCAGAACTGTATTTAGAAAGAAAGAAATGTTTGCGTAGTTCTCCTGAAAGCACTATTAACCTGATGAACACATGGCTGAGATGCAGAGCACAGGCAAGGCCCTGGCTTCCGTTCCGTGGAGAAAAAGAAGGGAGAGAAGGAGGAAGGAAGGATTAACTTAAACTCGGTGCTCCCTGTTTCATAAGCACCAACTGCATCCAATCATAAAATCTGAGATCCGACATTGGAGGACACGGACCCCCAGTAAGTCCATCATTCCTTGGAGAAGCTGGATTACATACCATGGAACAGCGGTAAATATTGCCAAGGGTGTGATTCTAGCCCCTCTACGTGTGACCTATTGGTCAGGGCTCAGTACTTGATGGTCTTGAGACCTACCTGGGTCTCTCTGGAGATGGCTTGGGGCTTCGGGGAGGAGGTGTGCGTGGCACAGCTGGCTTCGGAGCAATGCTGGCTGCTGGGAGGAAGCCATGGATGATGTGATTCTGCACAAAGGAAACCCAGGGCAGATCACTGGGAGGGAGGAAATCAACTGGGTCCCGCCGCACCCCCACCTCCCAAGCTGAGGCCACACCAGAGATTCAGTCCTGTCCCCTTCGTCCCCAACTGCCATTCGTCAAGGCAGTACACGCAGCAGGGCACACCACCATGCAGCCCACGGAGGAACCCTTCTCGTTCTCCCCCTCACCGCAGCTTTCCTGACTGACTTCAAGGGCCGGCGTGGCTGGGTTAATCAACACCGGGTGCAGGACAAGGCACACCTTTGGGGGTCTCTGTTTTCCAGAGGGCACTAACAGAGCTGGGATAACCTACCCTACGTATGAAGAGAACCAACTCATGGGACAGGGGGCTCAGATGGAAGAAAGGGGACATAAGCTAAGCAACAGCATTGGTCTTTCTTCGCTTCCTCGTCTGCCGAGCTATGAGGCAGCACCCACTACTTGCTCCTGCCACCACGGAGCCACCCACTGCCACACCTTCCCCACTACGACAGACTATAACCCCTCAAAACCAGAGATCAAAATAAACCTCTGCTCCCAGAGGTTACTTCTCATAAGGTCACAGCCAACACGAAAAGTCGTTAACACACTGACCGTTCCCTTCCAGGCTTCCCACGCACAGAACTGTCCCCAGTGAAGTCACCCAGGCCTTCCCATCCCTGAGCAACAGGTGCCTTCCCTCAGCAGCTCTAGAACCGAGCATACTGACTCAGGTCTGATAGGAGCTTGACTCCAGGTGGCTCATCTCGAAGATGCGCAGTAAGGAAGGTGGGCCTGTACTCATGACGGAAGTCAGAGGGAACCCCACTCCACTTTAGGGACCTGGGGGCAGGGGTGTCTTTTGAGCATCTGAGCCCTGCCCAATCTTTGTTTTCTGAGCACCAGCCACTCCCTCGCACCTGCTAGAGACAAGTTGCCATGACAACAGTGAAGATGCTGTCTTCATCCTCGGGGACACAGAGTGGGAAAACACCCACACGGGTGTTATAGAACACAGAACTATGCAAAATGGCAAGGGGCAAGGGAAATCAACTGGCCCAAGGAAAGTAAGGTTCCTTCAGGGTTTTTTTTATTTTTTGGTTTTTTTTTTGCCTTTTTAAAAAAGATTTATTTATTTATGTGTATGAATGTTTGTCTACCCATATTGTATACATATTGCATGCATGCCTGGGCCTGTGGAGGTAAGAAGAGGACATCAGATCCCTTAGAAATGGAATTTCGGAGGGTTGTGAGCCACCATGTGGAGGCTGGAAGTTGAACCCAAGTCCTCTACCAAAGCAACAAGTGATGTTAAGCACTGAGTGATCTCATGAACACTCAACATGAACAAGAGAACTGACAGAACCATAGTGGCAGGTGACTGTCGTCAGGAAAGAGGACAGAAGGAATGGGTGGATCATTTGCAGTTATTTCTGGGGGCTGGAGAAATGGCCTAGCGGTTAAGAGCATATACCACTCTTCCAGAGGACCCGAGTCCAGTTCCCGACACCAACATCACATAACTTCAGCTCCAGGGAATCCAATGCCTCTGGATTCCACAGGCACTCATGCGCAAGTGCACAAACTCACACTTAAGACACACAAAGCTGGGCTGGAGAGATGGCTCAGAGGTTAAGAGCACTGACTGCTCTTCCGGAGGTCCTTTCAATTCCCAGCAACCACATGGTGGCTAACAGCCATCTATAATGAGATCTGGTGCCCTCTTCTGGCCTGCAGGCATGGAGGTTGAACACTGTGTACATAATAAATAAATAAATCTTAAAAAAAAAAAGACACACAAAGTGGTACACGCCTTTAATCCCAGCACTTGGGAGGCAGAGGCAGGCAGATCTCTATGAGTTCAAGGCCAGCCTGGTCTACTGAGTTCCAGGGCAGCCAGGGATACACAGAGAAACCCTGCCTCAGGAAAAAAAAGAAAGAAAGGAAGAAAGAAAGAAAGAAAGAAAGAAAGAAAGAAAGAAAGAGAAAAAGACACATATTAATCTTTTTTTTTTAAAGGTTATTGCATTCAGTGACAGAATGGTTGCCTAAGTGTCCCAAAAGCACCTGTAGTAGTTACTTTATCCCACTCCCTTGAGACAGGGTCTTACTGTGTAGCTTTGATTAGTCTGGAACTCACTATATAGACCAGGCTGCCCTTGTACTAAGAGAGGTCTGCCTACCCCTAGTTCCAGAGTGCTGCGATTAGAGGTGTGTGCCATACTTATTATTCCTGGCCAAAAAAAAAAAAAAAAAAAGATACCGAGCACCACGAAACACGAAATCAAGTTGGCATGATTAACAGATTGTAGTGGGTGGGAAGGGTATGTGTGTCCATGAACTGCTGGAGTGCTGGAGTCAAAAATCCTAGAAAAATGAGTGAAAGCCACGTGTGGCGTAAAAACCACAATCTCGGCACTCGGGACAGAGGCAAGAGAATTGTGGGGAGTTTCCTGAGCTACACAGTTAAGACCCTGTTTCAAAACCAAATCCAAACATAAGAAAAATAACACAGCAAGGGATCAGAGACTGAGTCTAGGAAGACAACACATGGCACACGGTGGCACAGTGGCCTTAGGAAGATCTGGAAGGCCATAACCAGATACAGGAGCAGAAAATGCCAGTGTGTCTAGAGAGTGAGGTGTGTTGGGACGGGGAACAGAGGGTTCTACTAACGGCAGTGGCAGGATCAGATCTGCGGGTTTAAATGTCCCCGTCATTGCTCTGCAGACAGCAAATCTCGGAAACTTCTGAGGTGAAAACAGAGAACCTAGGAAAGAGCTGATTATGAAGCAGTTCAGATGGACAGAGGCCGAGGTCGGGGTGGGCATGACCTAAGGAAGGGCAAATGCGATCGACCTGCTAAGGCGAGTACGTGGTGCGGGGAGGAAGTAAAAATGACTTCCCTGCGGATATCCGACCATGGAGCAGTTTTAAGTAAGACGGGAGTGAACTCCCGGCCAAGGGGAGAATCCTAACGGGGAGACAATGATTTCTGGACGTGGCGGACTCTGGAGATGAAGGATTCTTTGGAACACGAAGTCAGGGCTTCTGGAACTGAGTGCTCTCGGGCAGTGCCACCGCCTTGCTCCCTGAAAAAGCAAGCCCTACTCACGAACTGGCCCCGGCGGTTCCTGCGGAAGCTGAGGAGCATCCTGGTTGTGGGATGTGGGCTTCGGTACCCGGCCCGGGACTAGCTGGGGGACAGCCCAGCTCCCGCGGACCCAGAGACTTCACAACAAACATGCCTCCCATTGGCTCTGTTTTGAGTCTTAACCAATCAAAGTCAATTTTACTCTCACCCGTTGCTCTTGACAACGTAACAAGGCGTCATTCAAATTCCAGCCAATGAGGAGGCAAACTGAGTCTTCCGTTCTATTACTGGTTCCACTAGAAGTCAATCTTGTAAAATTAGCCAATCCGACATTGAGGAAGGCGGGCAGAAATAAAAATGGGGAGGACCGGACTGTGGGAACACGGAAGTGGCATGGCCTCAGGTGCTGTGCACGGAGATTCAAGATCTTGGCACCGTGAGCTTCCCTGCTGGTTCAGTCTCACATAGGGACTGGACAGAGGAGCTACCCTCAGCGCCCTGTTAGGACACCAAATCTCAGGAAGGTGCTTAAAAAGAGGAACGGAGTGACTACGACAGGATTCTCCTGGTTTTACCCCGGCGTGGTGGCGCGCGACTCTCATTCCAACCCTTGGGAGGCTGAATTAGAGTTCAGCCTGAGCTACCAGCCAGCTGTCAGTAGAGAACCAAGCTTCACAATAAGACCTAATATTATTTTCTTAAAAGAAGAAATTTCTGGAATTTTGATTTCGGTTGATAGAATTCAATGACTGAAAAGCCACTCTGCAGATCCTCTCAGAGAAGCCGGGACTTAGTGTAGAACCGTGTGCAACAGCCCGCTCTAGTGGGGTCTTGTGTTTTTGTCATTAGACCAAAACCGCGGATGGAAAGGAACTCTCCGGGTGGTACAGGTCCCGTGCACGTGCCCCTGGGGCATATTGTGGCTAATGAGAAGTGGCGCGGGTCCCAACTGGCTCAGGAGCTGCAAGGTTAGTGAGTGGGCTGCCTTCTGTCATACTCCTTTCTTCCCATCATATTAAAGGGGAAGGAGGAACGCTGGGTATGGTGTAGTTTCTTCCACCAGAAATTGAAGCAGGGATTGAGTTGGAGACCACCTGGGCTACATAGCAAGTTCAAGGCCAGCTAGGACTATGACAGCCTGCCCCTAAATAAATAAATAAAATGAGACTGGAGAGATAGCTCAGCGGTTAGGAGGACAGATTGCTCTTGCAGAGGACCCTGGTTTGATTCCCAGCACAAACGTGGTGGCTCAGACTCCTCCCTCTTCTGAGCTTTGGGGCACTATATACGCACATGTGCACAGACATAAATGCAAGTAAAATATACACATATTTTTTTTATTAAAAAGGGGCCCTAGAAATGGCTCCATCCCCAGGACCCCCATTGGGCTCCTCATACTGCTTTTAATTCTGCTTCAGAGGATTTGATGCCCTCTTCTGGCCTCTCCGGGTACCTGCACACATGTGCATACATGTACACACACATACACACACACACACAATTTTAAAAATGAATCTTCATACAAACACATTCTAACTGTAGCAACAGATAACTCCTTATTACCTGGAATTCCTCATCACTTTTCTTGTCTGTGTTTTAAGGAAAAGTTAAACTCGTGTTTGAGGAGGGTCTGCCATTGGCAGATTTTTACCTGTCCAGCAGATCTTGCATTCTCTATGTCACTGAAGCAGATTTGGTGGCCGGACATGGCTACAGAAAGAGGCTTGTTCGTGTTAGAAATGTAAGTACCGAATCAGAGGTGCTGAACTCCAACATCTCCCTGCATCTCCATCACCCATCTCAACCTTCCCAAGCCCTAAGGGATGAGTTTCTGAACTTTAAAAGGAAGCATGCTACCAAATCACTTGCTGTCTTTTCTCTTGAAGTCTGGACATCTTCAAGGGATTGTAATAGTTGAAAAAACACAGATAAGTGAGCAGTACTTCTCAGCAGTCCAGAAGTTTACCGTGCTCGACCTTGGGATGGTGTTGCTCCCAGTGGCCAACCAGTTGGAAGCATCCTGCCTCATTATCCAGTTGGTAAGTACCAGGCTCTTCCTTTCCAATATCCCATCCAGGAGATTCTCCATTTGCCTCTGATCCTTACGAAAACTGCCTTTATTATAGTGGTATTGGTTTCTCTAAGTGTTTTTTTAAGATTTATTTTTATTTTATGTGTGTTAGTGTTCTCACCTGCATGTATGTCTGTGTAAGGACGCCAGATCTCCTAGAACTGAGTTATCATGTGGGTGCTGGGAATTGAACCCTAGTCCTCTGGAAAAATAACCAGTGCTCTTAACTGCTGAACAATCTGCCCAGCCATAAACATTTTTTGTTTTGTTTCTGTTTGTTTATTTTTTCAAGACAGGGTTTCTCTGTTGTAGCCCTAGCTGTCTTGGAACTCGTGCTGTAGACCAGGTTGGTCTTGAACTTAGAGATCCTCCTGCCTCTGCCTCCCAAGTTCTGGGATTAAAGGTGTGCACCACCTGGCTTTCTCAAAATAATTTTGATGTTGGGCCTCTTGTAGCTGAGCGTACAGGCGTGTGTCACCACACTGGGTTTTAGGCCGTGCTGGAGATTGAACCCAGGGCTTACCGCATGCAAGGCAAACACTCTGCCAACCAAGTGACACCTCTCTGATTTCTTGAAACCTTTGCACTGATGACGGTTACAAAGGGAACAAGCTGGAGCTCTGATTTTGACCTCCAGGCTGCACTGACGCTATCATTATCCTGCATTTGTACTACTAAAAAATGGCAGCTGGCAGCCCCTTTATCTCTTTCTAGCGTGCCATTGTTTAAGTATCACACTTTCTTGGTTTGTTCTTTGTTTGTAGGGTGTCCCCCTCCCCCATAGAACCTCCTGTAGCCCAGACTGGCCTCGAGCTCCTGGTCTTCCTGGTTCTACTTCCCTAGTCTTTCAAATCACAAATATTTACCACCATTGTGTATAGAATTATTGCATTTCTTTCTTTTTTTTAATATTTTCATTTTACTTGCATTGGCGTTTTGTCTGCATGCATGTGTGAGGGTGTGAGGTCTTGGGGTTACAGACAGTTGTTAGCTGCTACGTGAATGCTAGGAATTGAACCCAGGTCCTCTGGAAGAGCATCAGTGCTCTTAACCACTGAGCCATCCCTCCAGCCCCGCATTTATTTCTTAAATAATCCTGAGCCTGGGGTATTGCTCAGTGGTTAGAACACTTGCTACACAAGCATGAGGACCTAAGTCTGACCTCTCCCAAACCCCTGGTGACACGCATGTAATCCTAGCCCTGGGGAGAGAGACAGGCAGATGCCTGTGGCTTGCTGGCCAACCAGCCTAGACCCTGCTTCAAACCACAAGCAGATGGAGCCTGAAGAACACTCAGGGTTGACCTCTGGCCTTCACATGCATGCAAATGTGCATGCCCTGCGCGAATACACACACACAGCAAAAGTAAATGTCGTTGGTTTCTTGATTGCCCCGTTCCTGAGTTTCAGCTTCTCTGCTCGCTATACTTTCCTAGGGAGCTTGTTTGCTAAAGGATACCAGGTCTCACTAGGTAGCCCGGGTTGGCTTGCAGCTTATCATGAAGTCCAGGCTGACTTCACACTTGCAGTCCACTTACCTGAGCTTCCAGTCCTGGGAGTTTGGCATTATGCCATACCTGGTTCTTCTAGGGAACCTTTGCAAAAGTGTCACGGGCTGGCCAGTTGTTCAGTGGGGCTCGCTCTGAAGTGGCCCTATGTGTTCCATCCCTAGAGCACATACGGTGGAAGAAGAGATTCTGCTCCCACAAATTGTATTTGACCTCTGCATGCACGAGATGGCACAGGCATGCCTCCCCCAAATAATGTAAGAGAGCATTTCCCACCCACAACAAGCCCCAATAACAATTCGCAAAAGTCAAACAAATAAATACATTAATTAATAGAAATGGTTTCAGGAGGGAGGTTCCTGGAACAGGCCTACAGTCTCAGCTTTAGAGGCTAATCTGGGCTACACAGTAAGGCTGTCTCAAAAAAAAGTGACAGGATTAGATTATATCTAACTCTGAGGTAGACCACTTGAGGCCGAGTTCAATTCCTGGCTGGG